GCCATACCAGCCCCACAATTTCAGCTCCATAAAAGCTTTTATATGTAGATTACAAGAGGATTGCTGTGTACTACGTGCTTTCTGATCAATGGCTACCAAGGCCGGCTATTACTCTGTAGAAGTTTTAAACGTACTTGTTAAATTAGGAAATATTTTAGGCTTGCAACCCTGGTAGTGCTGCAAATCAGGTGTGTACAGTCCTCTGGCAGAAAAGGCTTCTAGTCTAACTCAGAAATACATCTGTTTTTCAGTTGTTCTACAGCTTTCTTTTCCCCTCCTTATTGTATGTTCATCACCAATTAGAAAAAGGAGAATCTAAAATCCAAGGTTCACTTCTGTGGTCAAATAATTTTTGTCTCTAGCATAAGCGTTTTGCTGCTAAATGCATTATCTGCTGTGGGAGACAGAGCTGACAGCCTCTGGGCTGGGAGTTTGACTGTTAAATCCCACCGACAAGGTTGTTGATGACTTTGACAGATAGCACGGCTTTTCTGTTGTGGCTCAGCTTCACATTCAGATTTCTTTAACCTCATAATTTCGAGAACTTCTCACGAGGAGATGCCCTGACAAGCTGAAATGCTATTTCAGTGATTGCCCACCACACATACCTGCTTATCAAAAATGAATCCTTTTGGCTTTCTCTGTAATTGTGCGATGGGACAGGGAGGCCCGCAAGCTGCACGGCGAGGGTCAGCGTGTCACTTGGTGACGTACCCGTTGATGGACCCACTCTTGTGATGAGGGGTTTTTGGGGGCTTGTCTTTACCTTTGCTCTGCAAGGGAAATCAAGACCACACAGAGACCTTGGGATGCATCACAGGGTGATGTGATACCCAACCTGTAAGTGCAGAAAAGGGGCCCAGGGGTAAACTTGGGGTTGCACACCCTCCTCCTCATGCTGCAGAGCCATGAATAGCAGGAGCTTTTTTCCCTCTCTTATGCAAAGGGGATGGGTGCATCTGTGGATTTTGGAGATGCTTCTCCCAAGATCCTGGCAGCCATCCCCTGCACAACCCTCCTTGTTCCTGCATGCACACTTCAACTCCACCGATGGTGGCTCTCACCCTTGGCACAGGCGTGGGTCCCGAGCATCCTGCAAATGGTCTCTGTGGTCTCTGCTGTGGCATGTGTGCTGCCACGAACTGGGCTAGGTGCTCTTCCCAGGCACCTGAGGGGTACACATCAGAAAAGCAACAGAATGAGACCAAGGGAAAACCACCAAAATGTAGGGGCTGGTCTGTGAAAATATGAGAGGTGTCGTGATGTCTGTCCAGGTGAGTCTTGCACGAATACCTTGAGGTTCACCTCTGCCTGTGACACTACTTCCCAAGGAGCTCACAGCCTTCACTGGCCATACTTTCTGTTGGATTTTGGAGAAAAGTAAAAGGGCTGCTTTTTCTCATTTTTCTATGTGGGGGATTCAGATCTGCGCAGTGCTGAGTTTTATTTAGGACTCACTTGTGCCAGTGAATGAATTAAAGTCTTGTGGTGATGCGGCTGATTTATATGTGATGGAAGTGGTAACGTAGAAAAAATGCACAGCATTCTCCAGAGCAAAACTGGTGCTTCAGTGTACAGAAAGATCTCAGGCAGGGGTTTATCTCCCCACCCAAATGTGGTGCGGGGTTACACAGCCAGGTGACAGCTCACTGGAGTCTTTCCTTCCTCTCTGCCCTTTCAGGTGTCAGCTCCTTACGCTGCAAAGCCAGATGGCAGGCTCGATGGCTCCACAGCCTTGCCTCCCCGGGAAGCTCTTTCCCCTATGATGTGATCTTTCTCATACTCTGGACCACATCCTCAGCTGGGACAAATCACAACAGCTCCCTGGGTTTCACTGGAGCGATGTGAAATTGCAGCTGCTGACTCCAGCTGCTGAGGATCCGGCCAGTACCAAACAAAGAGCCCAGTGAAAACAGCTCATAGAGATGGCTGCCAAAAGTTCAGGTAAATGGCTGTAGATCCAAAAGCAAATTGGAATTGTGATTTCATTGCTCACCATTGTACCAGTGCTGTAAAACCTGATGTTGTGATAGATGTAGTAGAAGCACTGGCCGCGCCTGCACAAGTGCCCTTCTGAAGCCAGGGCCTCGCAGGTCTGCACAGATGTACCTGAAGTGAAAATCTGGCACTGGTGCTTCCACCTCATGCCTTTGCCTACTCTCGGCTTCCTTTGAGAGGCGCCGGCTGGCCCTACACTTTTTGTCTGGCTTGGTTTGGGGGAGCACCACCTTAGCCCTGTGCTGTAGGTGGACAGCCAGTTACAGCATGTTTATTGGTGTTGAAAACCTCATCTGGGAGAAAAGCCTGCCGGTCAGTTTGGTAGGAACAGGATTGTTTTTCATGTTGTGCCATTCCTGATGTAAAATCCATGAGTTCCCTCACACCCGTAGGAGAGGCTCTGGGGTACAGGTTCGTGCAGGGTTTTGGAAGATGCCCACGAGGCTGAGGATGAAGCGCTCCAGTTGATTTCAGCACAGCTTCAGTCCCATAGCATCCAGGGTTTCTGGCAGCAGGCTTCTTCCAGCATCACACTTTATATATATACATAAATATATATATTGGATCTCACTTAGTCGTGAGTGTTTTTCTTTTACAGTAAGGAGAAGATGCACAGAAAGGAAATGTAATGGCTGCATACAGGAAAAATATTACTTTCTTTGGCTTTAAAAGTTGAATTCCCACTAACCTCAGGAATATTCCTCCTCCCACTGGGAGAGTCAAGTTTTGTCTGGGTATCATGTCATCTGTCCACATTTATTTTGGATCCAGAAGAAGTTATTAAAAGTGATTGAAAAATCAGGCTTTGAAACAGTTGGTATGGAAGTGTGAGACCTGTCTATCACCTTCCATCAAGGAAGGCTTGGCACCCCTCTCTCCATCTGACAGTTCCCCTCACCCTGCTTCTGTAAAACAGAAATGCTGGCTGCTTTGGTGGGGGAGCCCAACCTGGCTGATACCAGCAGACATGCCATGCTCACCATGTGACCTGTTGGCAAGTAGCCTCATTAGAAAATTAATCCTTTTAAAAGAGAATTAAGGAGACTGGAGGCTACTGCTGTGCCCTGTGAAACATATTGGTCTCTGGGATATGGTCCACAGAAAGCCTTTGCCTACTTTTTGTAAAGGAGGTGCAGTCTTTTTGCCATGACTGGCTTGTTTTGTTGGGGTTTTGTGATACTTGTTCAGCATCCTGCAACACCATTCACGGTAGCTGGATTTAGTCCTTTCAGCTATTTGTTTTCCAGCATTATCCCCCCTCTCTTCTGTTTTCAGAGGTGATTGACCTATTTTATTGTTTCTTCGTGTCTCTGAATCTAGTCTTCCCCTGTGTTGTTATTAGCAAGCTGAAGCATCACTCACTCATGTAGGAAAACAGCCCTGTTCCAAACAGGCCATATTGAAGTGCCTTCTTGAGTTTAGACCTAAATCCATGGCCTTCTCCTGCTGTCCCTCCCAGGGAGAGAGCTGTTTCCAAACTAGGACTCCAGTCGCAAAGCCAAGACCCCTGCAAGATCAGTATGCAGAGTCGGTTTGACAGCTCCAGGATGTGATTAGGTTAGAGACTGGGATTCGGAGCCATTAACTACTCTGCTAAACAGCTCCTGGGCAGCTGAGCGGCTGCAGGGTGGGAGCAGCAAATTTGGGCTTGGTGCTGACGCAGCCTTTCAATAACCAGATGTCCTGGGCACAAAACACCTCTGTATACAATAATCTATATAGAGCTTTATAGACAATAAGGAAAATTAGCCCACATCGGTTACTCTTTCTCCACCTGAGAAGTTGCCACATAACTACACTGTCTTCTCCACTATAATCCACTGATTATAGAGATGGCACTTGCCTGCTGAAAACCAAGTCAGTGAGATTGGCCTATTCATCCTGGGTCTGTCTTCATTATCATCTCCCTACAGGAAAAAAAACACAGGTCTGTCCACCTTGACATCTCTCTGTGACTGTGTGTCACTCTTTATTCAAGTTACTGCCAGTAACTTTTCCCAGTGCCAAGTCTACTGATGTTCCCTGCTCTCTGTCTGGAACCTGTGCTCGCCCAGTCTCTCGTCTGCTCCTCATGGGGAGTTAAAGGCCTCCCACCATACAAGTTCTTCAGACTATTGCTCCTGCCTTGCTGATCCTCCTGACCCCTTCAGAGCATTGTCTGATTTCAATTCTTCTTATCCCTTTTTTCATTCATTTTACATACTCGGGTGTTGCCTAGCATTTCATTAATTTTTCATTTTCTGCCCCCGGGAAATTTCTCTCCATTTCTGGAATGTTTCCCTCTTTCTCCCTGCAGAACACTGAGTCAAAGAAATCATTTAGTTTCCTAGCAATATCCGCCTCATCTGTCATCGAGAGATAAAATTACTAAAACAATGAACAAAAGGTTAAAAAAAACCTGGATGTCTCCAACTGCCAGATTGTAGGTCCCTGCAGTCAAATACGGGTCACGTGCATGTTTTCCCTGTATGCCTTCACATTTACCTCCTGCCCACTCCCTCCCCTGTGCTGAAACAGCTTGGTTTGATCTGATCCTTCTTTCGTGTCTGGTGGAAACCTCTCCTGAAAGCATCATTTTTGCTGATGTGACATCTGGAAGGTATTTTTTGGGCTGTCTCTCTGTTGACTGTCATTAAAAGGAAGTATGGAGTGGTTTGTAGCACTAGAAATTCTATTGGGATGCTGGTGAGTGGGGATGGGCAGTGCCTTTGCCCTCTCCAAGCATGCTCAAAACACTGGGCGGACAAAGCCAAAAGTAAGGAGGAACAAGAAGTGGGTCTGCTTAGTAGAAAAAGAGGAAATTCTTGGGATATTATTATTCATACTGTAAATGAAAGTGTTTTTCTTAGCCAGCAGATTATACACAGCACAGTTATTGTTAGTGCTGAGGACAGGGATTTCCACGTGGATATACCTGCTGTCAGTGGGTGCCAAAACTCTTCTGGGTGACGTGGCTTACACAGGCGTGATGTGTGTGATGAATGACATATGGTTTCCCCCAGTTTGCCTTCTGGATGTTGGGAAAGCAGTTGTTAAATGTGATGTGCTGCGAGGTCCTCGTGGAGCAGGGTGTGGGAGGAAAGCGCCAGGGCCAGGCTCTGCCCGCTGTTGGGCGGGTGCAGACTTGGAGACTGGATCAACACCCGCAGAACTCAGGTGTGCTTTCTTCTCAGCGGGAGTCCGTTGAAGGTCTTTAGATCTTCAAGTCTCTGGAAATTTATCTGCACGTTTTTCACAAGTGGTGTGTTGTAACTTAGTAAGCTTGAACAAAAAGTTGTCTGAGTCATCTAAAATCTGCACTGGGGAGATTGCGTTCAACAGAATGAGACTATCGGAGAGGTTCCAAACAGCTGTCAGGCGGAAGCTTGCTTTTATCCCAGATGTGTGAATTTTCAGCAATGTTGTTAACTGGATTGTTCATCCTGAGCACTGTGTGAAATTCTGCCCTGCTATTGCCATTGAAGGAAACAAATGAAGAAGGAAAAGGCTGTGTGTGGGGTTTGCAATGTGTCTTCTGCTTTTCTAGATGGTTACATTTTGTAAGGTAAAGGAAAAAAAGGAGGGGAAGCCCTGTAAATTTGAGTCAGTTCTGAGAGTTCTCTTTAGGGCTTCTGGTAATTTTGGTGGTTATTTTAAAGGTGGAATCCATAAAGTGTAGAAGTGTGTGACAGCTTCGTGATGTGTTAGTACTGACCAAAGCCACCAAGTCACCCTTAGTGAATGGGGAAGATGTATTTTTCCAAGCCTTGACAGCATATATCTTGGTGTTTTGTGTTCAAGCTGTGATTCAGTTTCCACTCTTTGAAGATCTCCTCTGGGATGAGTTTTTCTCTGTTAATATGCAATAAGGAACCTTCCCTGACTGAGAAAAGGCCATGACTGTGTCCTTATAGTCCATTGTTTAAATAACCCCACAGAGCAGGCAAGTATTACCAAATCATGACCTTTGTTTACAGACTCAGTAAATATTGGTAACCATCAAGTTTATATCGTGAAGTCAGAGGCAAGACTTGTGACTAGTCATGGATTGTCCAGAAAGCATGTGTGTGGTCTATCCTTTACAGCTCGTTGCCGTAGTCTGTTATGAATTTGCCAGAAGAATCGGTCTTTTCAAAAACTCATATTTTTCCAAACTGCTGTGGGAGCAGTCCTAGACCACTTTCTATTACATAACTCAGGTTAGTAAAACTCTGTTAGGTTTGCTTTTCTCATTTTAGCTTGATGACCTGCGATAAACAATAGTTGAGTGAGGTATTCCAGTTTCTTTCCTATATGCATTTTAATTCTGCATCTAATTCACATTACTCCATTAATTTATGTTTTTCTTAAATCAAGAGTTGCTATTTAATTTTTCCAGGTATTTCAGCTCTGTCAAATTTTATCTTTTAAATGCCCACTAAAGCATCGGGTTGATAGTTGGTCAACATTTGGAAGTCTGTTTTATGGAAAATGTCAACATTACAAAATTTGTTTTCTTTCAAAATTAGGATAAAAATAACCTTCTTCAGATTTCCCTTTGGAACAGAATTTGCAAAGCTAGAGGAGAAATACTACTCCTTCCCCCATAATAAAAGCTGGCAGAAGGCTAAACAAGTCTATGGGAATCAAACCTCATCTACTGACAGCACAAACTGACTCCACTACTTTCTAAAAGATGAGGGAAGCAGAAGGATTGCACAGGAGACCTGAATTTTAAATCCACCTCCATGGTGTGTGCCCGTATCGCTATTGCTTGGTTGCATTTAGCTTCAGTGCCCATCAAGGCCCTCTCCCTGTCTCTGCAAATGTGGCAGATGGGGACAGGGACCCGGCGAACAGCAGGACTCTGAGCAGAGCACCAATTAGGCAGGCGCTAAAAGCACCTTTCTGGAAGACCTGTCCAGACAGCAGATGTCCCAGAGGGACAGGGGCTTGTCTTTTTGTCTTTGTCTCTCTCTTTTTTTTGTTTTTAAATGGACATCTCCTGTGAACTGTTGTATGCATCAGCAGAAGAAAATGTATGTCTCCTTTTATGTTTTTATGCAAAGGAATTGGATTCTAAGATGACATTTCTGGGAGTCTCTAATGAGCATGTTTCTAACGTGTGAGCATATGTATCTTCTAGTACAAAATCTCTACATCATGCCAGGGCACTGCGTGACTTAACACTGTGAATGTCATTAGGGCCTTGTATGTTAACATCCCTAATTGTTTGCAGTGATCTGTTTTGAATTGTTAACTGAGGGCTGGCTCTTAACAGGAAAAGTTGCACTAATTGCCCAGTTTTCACAGATAGGTTAAAACCTTTTGCTAATGTAACTGTTGGCCTTTTGAAGTTTGTGTGTGTGTATATAGTCTTTGTTAATGGCATACAGATCATTAATAGAGCACTAAGCTGTGCTAACATCCTGTAACAGGGACTACAGACCTTAGTGGTTGCTGCCAATGAGCTCCTGGGAAGAGACAGCCAGGTGATAACTTGACTCTGCACTCTCATTATGCTCAGAAGCTCCTGTGGAAAAAAAAGGACACTACAGGACCTCACATTTTAGCATTTGTGTGAGCCCTTGTTTAGCTTTGAATTATTTGGGATCTTGTTTGTTGGGGTCTGGGATCACATTGTAGAAATGCACTTCAGCCATAAATTGTGCGGTTTTGTAGAAGTGGTTAAAAAAGCCCCAATGCTATGAAGTGATGAGAGCCCTTCTTTGGTGCTTTAAATGATGTCTCAGTTCCCCGCAGCTGGTGAAATCCAGCTATAAAAATTCTTTTCGCAATGAAATGAAATTCTGTAGTAATTAATATTGACATTTGTAAAGCAACCCAGAATAACAGCTATCGTCAAATTAACGTGACTTACAAATTTCTGATTACTTGCAGCTCTTTTCTCTTCTCAGAGGTACAGGATGTAGAAAGTCCATTTTCACAGTTTCAGGATGAGTGCCATGATAAAAAAGCTATTTCAGTGTGACTCTGAGCTTCACCTCTGGATTTTGCTGACTCTGGTGGCTTCAAGTTGCTGTAATAGTTGCGTGCTATTGTATGTACACATTTGGTTTTGTTCAGATCATCAGTCGCTGTTGGCTTTCAGATTTTTCTTGAGGGGGGTAGAATCACATGCTTCGGGGACTTGTATAGGAGGTGTTGATCCCTCTGAAGAGCACTCACTGTTACCAAACAGCTTTTGGGGACTGGTGGTAATTAAACAAGCCGCTGTGTTCGTGGCACTTCTTTGAGCTTATTACTACAGATTTTGGATAGGTAGGATCCGAAACCAGATGGAAATGTTGGTGAGGTGCACTGATGAAGTGTGACCATTTGTCCTTGAATCACAAGCAGAATTTCTGTATAGGAAGATTGTAGAGATGCTCCAGGATGGTATAGCCATTAGGAGATAAAAATGTGCTGACTGGCTCTCTCATTTCTTCAGTAGAGCTGATAGGGGATTTTCTAGATTCTGTGGGCTATGCTGTTACGCTGGACCTATCAGCATAAAGATCTCATGAGGGTAATTTAGTGGCAAAAGGGGATTTTGGACCAGAAAGGTAGGAAATATTACATGGGGAACAGAAAAAGTTTCTCTTGCTGAGGAGCTACTACAGCAAATCCCTCTCCTGCCTGGTTCAGCAATTCTCCACCTACACTAATTTTGTCCTGCTGTATTGTACCCGACTGTCAGGTCCCCTGAGCCAGGCTTGTAAAGGTGATTTCCCTGTCCACAACATCACTCCATGCTGCTCTGGGGTGACAAATAGCAAAACTGACGGGAGATGCCAGCAGCGAGCCCTCCTCAAGCCTCTGTCCTGGGGCTGGAGGATGCCAAGGGCTGGGGTGGGAGCATGGAGGGAAGGAGCCCAGCATGTTGTACTGGGCAGCAATCTACAGATAATCAACCCAATGGTTGTAGGCAGAAAATGAGACAAAGCTTGGGGAACTCTTCTGGTTCTAAAGAAATAGGAAGAAAAATACTGGGGTTTTTTTTGGCACAAATTTGGGTTAATCTCAGTTTCCATCAGCCTGTGTTAAAAGAGCAATTGTGACTCTCTCAAACTTGTCGCGTAGATTTTTTCTCCAAAGAAACCAACAAGTAATAGATTCTGGAAATGTAAGACCTTACAGTGCTTGTGTTTTGATTTATGGCTTCTAGTAGCAAAGGAAGCAATACTGTGTGAACAAATTATTCAGAGATCAGAAAAAGGTGGGAGGAGGGGGAGAGAAGACCACTATAGGAATTTGCCTGAAGAGGCACCTAAAGTGATCCCTGTTTGCCAATGGAGGGCTGGGAGACAGTGTGTGGCACTGAGAGGCAACTGAGCATGTCCCAGATGTGTGTTCAGCAATGCAGAAGGAGGCGGCAGAGATGTTGAATGTGGGGGGAAGAAGGATGCTTGTTGGTTGAGGGGGGAGAGGATTTTTTGTGTGTTATGCTGTGCTGCTCTTACAGCAGTAGGAATTATGAGGCTGCCTGGTACCACAGCAGGCCTATTGAGGACTCCAGTCTGAACCAGTACTTTAGCATTCATGATACATAGACTGAGCTGCCGACAGTCCATTCAGCAGGGCGAGTGAAAAGGACAAAACTGCCCTGTGTTCTGCTCAGCTGCACTGCGCTCTGTTTCGGACTAATCGAAAACTCCCCTCCAACAGTAAGAGGAAACTCACATCACAGTGTAAAGTCTGATTCTCACTAGCAATGGATTCAGCAAGCCTTGGTTGTATCTGATATTTCAGGTGCTGAAGTGTGGGGTGGGATTCCAGAATGTTATGCTTTCAGAATTGCAGGTTGAAGGAGTTTGTCATTCAATAATCCAATCTATACAATTCTCTTTAATCTCTTTTCCTAGTGGAGTCATTAACTACATGGGGATGTTTGGCAGAGAAATGATGGAGTGTGATATATCTTATTTTGGGAGCTGACTTTCCTTTTTAATAACAATGGATATTTTTTCCTGCCCATCACTTTTGTGACTGACACAGGAGATGTAGTAAAACTCTTGTTTTGAAGAAGTGTTAGGTCAATCTGCAGCATTTCCTACATACAGAAACAGCTAACATAATTGTCTGGATAAAACCCTCAGATTTACAGCCAAGTGCTTGTTTAAACTTCCTAAGTGTGCTGAAAGATTGATTTTAATGGAAACAGGACCTGCTTGCAGCACAGGCAAAACCACCTATTG